CTGCCGTGTATATGTAGTAATGTTACTACCCTGCCTAAAGGTGTTCAGAACTTTCCTATTATTTACAGAATAAAATCTAAACTCATCAGCATGGATGACATTTAAGGCTGTCTATAACATAGCCCCTCTCCCTGCTAATCTCAGTTCTTGTGATTTTCAACTCAAGTACTTTAAGATTCTTTTTGACCTTTGTGATATTTTAGTTTTCTAAAATAATATAAATTATGCTAGAAAATTGTAGGGGTAGAATAATCTTACTTATAATCTCACCAACCAGATATAACTACAAATAATATGTTAATATATTTTTTCTACTCTTTTTCCCCTGTAAAGAAAGAAGGCAAAAAAAGAGAATTCCAATTTGGGATGGCAGCACCCAAACATACCTGTTTAGGAATAAGATTAGAAAGAAGTTATTACAGTTTTTCTCAGGATTCCTTGGCTTTGCATATGCAGACCTTTTGCCTGGAATATCTTCTTATCATTTGTCTACCTGCCAGGCCATGTCCTACTACTCTTGAATTTTAGTTGAAACACTGTCATTTCCATGAAGCCTTTGAATGCCCCCAGGCAGATTTAGGTGTCCTCCGTGCACTTTGCCCATACCTTCATTATAGAAACTATCATATTGTAATTATTTGTGTGTTTGTCTGTGAACTGAACTGGAAGTTCCTTGAGGCAGAGATCTTTGTATTTCTAGGTCTGGCACAAAACCTGACCTAGCAGACCGAGGAGGAACTTCCGTAGAGGTAGGAGGGAAACCAGTAGAATCCAAGGGAATAGAGTGTGTGAAGAAAGAATGATGAATAGTATTAAATGGCTTGTGTAAATCCTGTGGGTGGATGTATTCCAAGTATATTGTAGGCAGTCAAGAAGTTTTTTGACTAAATGAATAAATGCAGAGCGTAAGATAAAGCCTGGAAAGTGTTCTTTTGCAAGAGCATGTTCACGTGCATGGTAGAGATTGGACACCAATTATAGCTGGTTAAGGAGAGAGTAGGAGGTTAGGAAGTGGAGACAACCAGTGTGGGCAACTATTTTTAGACTTTTGGTTATGGAGAGGAGAGGAAAGGTAGGACTTGGACAGTAGCTGAAAGACGTCTCTTGTCCCTCACAATGAGCCTGTTGCATGTGGAATGCCATTGGTAGGAACTCCTTAGGGCATAGTTTCTCAGCATAAGTATTGCCAGGAGTACTAGAAGTGCAGAGCTCCAGGCTGCATCTCCAGAGGTTGTGATTTTTAGGTCTGGGGTGGGCGTCCCGGGTAAATCTGATGCAGTTATTCCTTAGACTGTAGTTCCAGAAATGCTGCCTTAGGCAGTTTTGAAATATAGGAGGCTGTTAGTGCCTACTCCTTCCACTTCCTCACATACATGCAGGAGAAATAGTCAGTACCTTCACAGATTATCAAGATTGATTAGAGGAGGCTCTTGGGTCTTCTCTGTCATTTCTTTTTTACCGTCCAGCGCTCTGCTGCTTGCTTCTGGCATAGCCACTTCTGTGGTGTCTTCCAAGCCTCATTGTCCTCATGGCTCTTCTTGGTTCTTAGTTGCTGTCTTCATTTCCCTGAGAGAAAGTCTGGCCTTTTATAGACAACACTAGCCAATGACAATGTTATTTCTGGCCAATGAGCTGACTAGATAGGAGAGTTGGACTCTTAAGCTGTTCTCAGCTGTTTTCCTTGTTACTCTCAGCTGTTCTTCAACACTAATGCCTTGTCTTGCTGCTTCCAGGTTTGGAGCTATTCCAGAAGCGTGAGGGTTTTACAAAGCTGATCTTTGATTTGCCAGAGTTTTTAGAAGGAAAAGGACAATGAGATTTAAAGTATTATTTTAAAGCTAGATAGCCTCAGAGTATTAGAAAACTTTATTTTAGTGGTAATTCTCTAAATTGTATGATACTGTGAAAGGTTTCTTAAGGCAGGTTAGTATCATTAAAGTAGCCTGAATAGTATCCCAAAGAAGCATGTATCAACCCATATATGGAGCAAATATTCAGTTCACTTTGTGTGGAAGCTGCCCAGATGCTTCATTCATCACAGCGATGGTTTTCTTCAGGAGGCTTAGTGTTCCAGGTCCTTTTAGTCAGAGCTTTGGAATTGATAACATTGAATTGCCTAGAATTACAGTCTGCATGGATTTATTGCACCTTAAACCTTTTAGTCAGGCCTTAAAAGGTGAACTGCTAGGCATTTCACACTTTCGTGACACAGCTTTTGTTGGTCTCTTGGATGGTGTCACCACTGAAATGTAAGCAAAACTGTAAGCTGCTGCATACCAGAACTTGTTTATCTGCCCACAAAGGCAAAGTGGATGACTGTGCAAGTCATTCTTACCCTTTTCTCTGAAGCCAGCAATGAACAGAGGAAAAGCAAGTACCCCAGGGGTGCTCTGAAGCACAACTTAAAGCAAAGCGCCATCAGCTGTGGAACTGTCATCCTGGTATTTGCGCCCTTGAAATGGAGGCGTTTAAAGGAAATACTCATTGTTAAGGGGGAACCCAATTAACTCTTTCTTGCTAAAGGAAATTTACCAAGAAAGAAGAATACCACGCGGGCCATAATTGTTTATGTTGAGAAAGCAAAGAGAAGGAAAAAAAAAAAAAAGCTATGAAAATTAAAAACAAATAAGAAAAACACTTTGCTTTTACATTATATCTATATATAATTCTTTGTCATCCCCAGATCTCTCTGGTTACTATATGTGTTTGTATGCTTTTATTTTTACATAGCTGTCATCATAATGTGTACTTTACATCCATAATTATTATTTTAATGATGGTGCATTTTATTATTTTTATGATTGCCTAATAATTCATCAAATTGATGCAGTTAGCTGTTCCCCTATTATTGGATTTAGGATGTTTCCATTTTTGCCTATTGTAAATATACCATATAGTACTATATTAAACATCTGTGTGGGGGGAGTGTATGTGTATATTACTTTTTGTATTTTTTTAAATAGTATTTTATTGTGTTTTTGGTGAAAGTTTACACAGCAGTTCAGGTTCCCTAACAACGATTTCTATACAAGTTGGTCAGTGACATTGATTACATTCTTCACAATGTGTGAACATTCTCATTATATTTCCATCTGGTTGTTCTGTTTCCATTAATCTAGTTTTCCTGCTCCTTTACATTCTCATCTTTGTTTTAAAGTAATTGTTGACCATTTGGTCTCATATAGGTGATTTTTTTTAATGAGCATATTAATTATGGACGATAGTCATTATTTTTTGAGCCAGTCTGTTATTTAGCTACAGGGTAACCTCAGGGGTTAGTTTTGGTTCAAGGTTGGAAGAGTATCTCTGAGCAGTAGTCTCGGGGAGTCCTCCAGTCTCAACCAGTCCAAAACGTCTGTTTTTTAATCACCTTTTATTTTTAATTCTTTCTTTTGGGTGAATTCTCAGTTGCTGGATTGCTAAGTCAGAGAATAGAAACTTTTTTTATGGTTTTTGAAATAGGTTGTCAAATTATTTCCCATCAAATTGTACCAGTTTACAGAGCCACCAGCCATCTGTGCTAGTTTCTGTCAGCCTTCTCTGCAGTATTTTAATGGGTTAAAAAACTTTTTCTTTTTCTTTTTTTTTTTGGCCAGTTTATTTTATATCGCTTTGTTTTGTATTTCTTTGATAACTAGTAAAGCTAAAATTTTACCCTGTGCTATATATATTTATGACTCTCTGTGTGTGTGTGCAGGTGTGTGTATTTGCTTCTTGTATTTTTCCTTGTGGGAGGAACAGATAGATATATGAAGAATTCTTAGGCTAGCTGCTAGTCCCAGAGCAGTAGTCAGGTGATAGTGATGGGGTCAGCAGCCACCGGGGACTGGAGCCGTCTTTGACCAAATCTGCTGAAAGTATAGCTTATTGACTTTGGAACTCTTCTCACAGAAAAAAATTATATACCTAATGATTGGGGTATTCTGCTTAATAGAATATTCTGATTGTTACTATTATAGAGTACCCCATTATCAAAGATTAAGAATCAAATATAAATCACTGAATCAAAACTATACAGACTATTAATTTTTCTTTAGATATTCTGAAAAGGGCCTTATATGACATTTTCTTGAGTCTAGTTCCCAGAGAAGGACATCATGCTTGGTAAAGTGAAGGGTCAGCAAAAAACAGGAAGACCTTCAATGAAATTGACACAGTGGCTGCAACAACGGGCTCAAGTATAACAACGATTATGAGGATGATTCAGGACCAGGCAGTGTTTCGTTCTGTTGTACATGGGGTCGCTGTGAGTCGGAACCAACTCGACAGCACCTAACAATAACAACAGTTTGTAGATCTAGAAAATGTAGGAACTTGAACCAAATCTTTTACTAATTCCATGCGTAGAAGTTGATTTTCTTAAAATAGAGTTTAGATTCAAAAATTGAATCAGGGCCTTGTGTAGGATGTTGGTCTTAATGCTGTTGAACGCTATATGTTGAACCATGTGTATCCACACATATATATATGCATGTGTATATGTATACATATACATATATATGTAGTATAGTGCACACTATAAACACTGTTGTTACAAGCAGGGGGATGACATGATCAGGTTTTTGAAAAGTTTACTCAAATTGGCAGTCAGCATTGAAGTGACTGACTAAGACATCTGGATATATGCCTGTCTGGCCCTCTGGGAGCTTGCAGAAGATAATAGAGATAGAGATTGTATGGGACAGAGAACGTTGATAGCTTTTATGATGTTAGGGAATACTTGATACTGTTATTCTTTTTTGAGTATGGTTAATTAAATGTTAAAACCTTTGATTTGGAAGGAGGCAGGCATGGAGCCTGGGGACCTGGTACAGAAGTTATCTAGTTGTGTAGGTGAAAGGTGGGGTAATGGGCTGAGGGGGAGAGGTGGATGATGCGGGTGTGGAGAGGTGTTAGAAATGGTTTGAGAGATGTTATGTTTATAAAATCAAACAAGGTGGGTGGGAATATTTTGTATTTAATGTATCTTATTTCTTAATGATGTACATTTTGTATTTCAGATGAATTTACAACTGATTTTCTGGATTGGACTGATTAGCTCAGTTTGCTATGTGTTTGGCCAAACAGGTAAAAAAAAAAAAAATTTTCATAGCTGTCTTTTCATTTCAGTATCTTGTCTCACTCTTTGACCAGTTGTTTCCAGGGAAAACCTAAGTCAGATCATGCTACTGTTTCTGAAAGCCCTGCACTGGCCCCTATCTCACTCAGAGTAAAATTCAAAGTTCCTATAATGGCCTACAATGTCCTTCATGGTCAGGCTCCCCCATCACCGCTTCCACCCAGTCTCTCACCGTATTTCTTATTCTCTCCTACACTGCCCTCCTTGCTTTTGCTCAGAGACACCAGGCATTCTTTTGCTTAGAGCCTTGACCTTGGCTGTCTCTTTAGCTTGAAGTGTTTTTCTCTCAGGTATCTGTATGATTCTATCCCTCCTTCAGCTCTTGACTCAAATGATAACTTCTCAGTGAGGCCTTCCCTGGCTATCGTATTTATAATTGCACACCCTCTTCCCCATACTTCCCTTTCCCAGCTTTATTTTTTCTTCTTACTGTTTATCTCTTTCTAACATGCCGTGTGTCTTATTTATCTTGTTAGTTTGTCTGTCTCCCCTACTGGACTGTAAGCTCCATGAGGGCAGAGATTTTTGTTGATTTTCTTCACTGCTGTATCCTCAGTGCTTAGAATAATGAATAATGTCTGGCATATAAAAGGTTTCAAATAAATATATGTTGAATGAGAGAATGAATCCACCAGTATGCCCAAACAGTGATTGTCACCCCTTTAAAGTTGCTCCTATCCACGCATTCTGGGGAGTAGATCTAGATCAACTTGGTAACTGGGTTCATAGTGTTCATACTTAATATTCATATATATTGCATTGTTTGTCATTGAGTTCCTGATTTTTCATTATTTTTTCTCTTGAAACTTCAAGTAAAGTGATCCCTTCTTTCTTTTCCTGACAGATGAAAATAGATGTTTAAAAGCAAATGCCAAGTCATGTGGAGAATGTATACAAGCAGGGCCAAATTGTGGATGGTGTACAAATTTAGTAAGTAAGGTTACTCAAGTCTTTCCCATTTAGTAATTTAGTACTGTTCAATGCTATATCCTTGGGAAATAGCAGTTAGGAATTTTCATTTAAAACAGTGTTTAATGAATACGTGTTGCCTGTGTGTAAGATATAAGGCCTTGGCTATGTAAGCACTCGGCTGCTAACTGGAACGTTGGTGGTTCAAACCTACTAGCTGCTCCGCGGGAGAAAGATGTGGCAGTCTGCTTCCGTAAAGGCTACAGCCTTGGAAACCCTGTGCGGCAGTTCTGCTCTGTCCTCTAGGGTCACTATGAGCGAAACCAACTCCACAGCAACAGGTTTTTGTTTTCACGTGTGAAACCCTGGTGGTCTAGAGCTGTGCTGTTCAGCACAGCAGTCACTAGTCACAGGTGTCTTTTGAGCAGTTGAAACATACATTGTCCAAATGGAGAATGCTGTAAGTCTCAAATACATACTAGATTTGGAAGACTTAGTATAAAAATACTCATTAAATTTTTTTAAAATGGATTACATGTTGAAATGATAATATTTTAAATATATTATTGAAATTCATTTCCCATGTTTCTTTTTAGTGTGACTACTAGAAAATTTTAAATCACTTCTGTGGCTTGTCCTTGTGGTTGGCATTTTATGTTTAGTGGACTGCTTTAGGTGTAGACTGTTCTAGATTTTTCCCTTTTTTTCAGGGGGAAGGTACAAATTTTTACTTACTTTATACAGCACCATGAAACTGATAGGTAAAAACACATACCATATATGACTGAACATAAGGTGAGCCCAAATAAATGGCAGTCCTTCATTTTCCCCATGTCAAGATTAGGAAAAAAGTTTTTGGCCAACTAAATATATAGTTTTTAGGGATATATGTGACATAGTCATCAAATGTCTACTTATAATAATTTATTGATAATATTTTTTATGATTTATATTTACATATTTTAAAATGACACATACATACATATATATATATACATAAATGCTAATGCCATGTTTTCCCACTCTCAAATTTCATGAAAATGTTTTATTTAAAACTTTTACATACATCTTTTCAGGCTGTGCTTTTGTTTTCACTAAGGTACTTTTTCAGTCATCTGGTAACATTTTTGCTTCCGTCTCAGTTATTTGAAGTATAGCACATTTTGAGTTCATATCATTACTGGAAATTCTACCCGCAAGCCATAAGTATCTATTCATTTATATACCATTAAGACCTTTTTTTTTTTTTTTCAATCACCCTATGGAAATATATTCATAACCCTCGTCGTATAAGTATTTACTGTATTGCTTTTTAAAATAAATTTTAAAATACTTGTTTACAATAATAGCCGATGCTTGAAATTTATAGGTCCAGCCTCCGCAGGAATACTTACAAAATCTGTGTTAAATTTTTTGGTTGCCTGTTAAAAATACCATCATTAATGAGTATGCTTTTAGGCTAATGTGTTTTCCCTAAACATTGGCTTGTTCATAATATTGTAATGGGGAGTGAAATATGAGAGACTTTATAAGGACTTTTCAAAGGGAAATTTTAGGAAAAAATTTTGTCTAATATTTGGGCATATATATTAGTGGCCATTAACCATATTGAGTAAGTGATTTCACTGAAGAAATCTCTTTTCCTAGATATTCTGAATTAGAGGGTGGGACAGTTAAAATGTACACTTAGGTCAGTCCTGGGAATGCCATAACTTTCTAGGAAAGGGTTTTGTTTGTTTTTAAAGTACTCATTATGGTTTGGATGAATGGACATTTGTTTAAAAACCAGAAATGAGGTACATTAGATGCTTCACGTGTTTTATTTTGAAATTACGGTTATGTAAAAGCTTTGATCATTACATTTTTAAATTTATACCTGTATTTTTTATGTCATTTAGACATTTTTACAAGAAGGAATGCCTACCTCTGCCCGATGTGATGATTTAGAAGCCTTAAAAAAGAAAGGTTGCCATCCAGATGACATAGAAAATCCGAGAGGCTCCAAAGATGTAAAGAAAAATAAAAATGTAACAAATCGTAGCAAAGGAACAGCAGAGAAGCTCCAGCCAGAAGATATTACTCAGATCCAGCCACAGCAGTTGATTTTACAGTTACGATCAGGTACAGAAGTCTAACCCTATTAATACCTTCATTTCTCCTTGAGTTTTTTGATATGAGCTTTGTTAGCCTCTTCTCATTTTCATGTGTGCACTGGCACTCTGTAACATTAAATTTTGGAAATTTTTTGCAGCTGTAACCATTTGTGGCATGTTTATTTGGAATAATATTGAATATTACTAATGTCCAAAGTTCCAGAACACTTAATTGTGCTCATGCGGAACCTGTACATAGATCAAGAGGCAGTCATTCGAACAGAGCAAGGGGATACTGCATGGCTTGAGGTCAGGAATGGTGTGCGTCAGGGTTGTGTTCTTTCACCATATCTATTCAGTCTGTATGCTGAGTAAATAATCCAAGAAGCTGGACCATATGAAGAACGGGGCATCAGGATTAGAGGGAGATTTATTAACAGCCTGCAATTATGCAGGTGACACAACCTTGCTTGCTGAAAGTGAAGAGGACTTGAAGCACTTACTGATGAAGATCAAAGACCACAGTCTTCATTATGGGTTACACCTCAACATAAAGAAAACAAAAATCCTCACAACTGGACCAATAAGCAACATGATGATAAACGGAGAAAAGATTGAAGTTGTCAAGGATTTCATTTTATTTGGGTTCACAGTCAATACCCATGGAAGCAGCAGTCAGGAAATCAGAAGACACATTGCATTGGGTAAATCTGCTACAAAATTCCTCTTTAAAGTGTTAAAAAGCAAAGATACCACCTTGAAGACTAAGGTGCACCTGACCCAAGCCATGGTGTTTTCATTCGCCTCATATGCATGCAAAAACTGGACAATGAATAAGGAAGACCAAAGGAGAATTGATGCCTTTGAATTGTGGTGTTAACGAGGAATATTGAATGTATCATGGACTGCCAAAAGAAGCAACAAATCTGTCTTGGAAGAAGTACGGCAAGAATGCTCCCAGAATGCTCCTTAGAAGCAAAGATGGCAAGACTGCATCTCACATACTTTGGACATGTTGTCAGGAGGGATCGGTCCTTGGAGAAGGACATCATGCTTTGTAAAGTAGAAGGTCAGCGAAAAAGAGGAAGACCCTCAATGAGGTGGATTGGCACAGTGGCTGCAGCAGTGGGCTCAGGCATAACAATGATTGTGTCGATGGCACAGGACTCTACTGGACAGTGTTTTGTTCTGTTGTAATAGGGTCGCTATGAGTTAAAACCAACTCGTCGGCATCTAACAACAACAACAACAGTGTCCAAAGGGATCCCTGGTGGCACTATAGTTTCGCTATGAGTCGGAATTGACTCATCGGCAACAGATTTGGTTTTTAATGTCCAGAGTGAATTCTATCAGAGATGCAGAAAGTAGTTAATTATATGGAATGAATTTCAGAAATAACTTGTAAGTGTCCATCCTCTGGTATAATCACTTAATATAAAATAGACATCATTTTCATATATTCTTCTGCTTTGTATTTGCTTAGTATCGTTAAAATATTAGGTTTTTTTTATTTTTTTATTTTACTGTACTTAGGTGAAGGCTTACAGAACAAATAGTTTCTCATGAAACAGTAGTACACATGTTGTCTTATGACATTCGTTAACAACCCCACAACATATTAACCCTCTAACTTCTCAACCTTTTTTTTTTTGGTGAAACTACACATAGCCAAAGATACACCGTTTCAAAAATTTCTGCATGTACAGTTCAGTGACATTGACTACGCTCTTCCAATTGTGCTGTTATTCTCACTTAAGATGAAGGCTTACAGAACAAAATAGTTTCTCATTTAACATT